AGTAGGTTGGAGGCCATTGCTATCAGGGTTGAGGCCATCGCTAGTGGGTTGGAGGCTATTGCTCTAGTCTCTTCATCATTTGGGCAGGAATCCGATCACCGGCAAACAGATCACAGAAGAGCTGGATGAGAATGGCGTCTTCAGGCTACAGCTTTGACTACTCTTTGCAGTGACTGCTTTCTGTCCGGGTTGTAGGGTTTTAGGGCTTGGCCAAGTATTCCTTCTACAACTAGCAACTAGCAGTGACTTGCAAGAACGCAGGGATGAGGAGAAGTAAGGTTCATTCGCCGACCGAGAAGTGGTCAGGCTCAACGAGCAGCTCTATGACATTTGGAAGCGTGAGATGTTCTCCAAGATGTTGGTCTGGAGACCCAAAAGATGGACATGATGATCAACATTGATTTACTATCATCATGATTGAAGTTCGGGTTTTCTCCAACTGCGTCTTACTTACTGGAGGCCATCGCTAGTAGTTTGGAGGCCATCACTCTTAGGTTCCTTACTGAGGGAAGCGAAGCCGGAGCACCTGGCTGCCTCTTCTGCCTCAGGTGGCTGGTGCACGAGTGGCCATAGTGCTGAACAGCATCCTGCACCACAGGGAGGGACAGCTTCATGCGGGCACGGCGGTGTCGCACTTGGAAGGCGGGGAGAAGGCGTTGGGTCGAAGCCCCGAACGTAGCGTCCCTTGCTCCTAGTAGATTGCAGGCCACACTTGATGCGTTTTTCTTCTTCTAATCGATGGACCAGTATGAGTTGGGGTCAACAGTTTCAGCTTGCACCGAGCCAACCCAAGCACCTTCACAGGTGAGGAGGAAGAAGAGGACGGATGGGCGATCAGAACTCCATGTCCTGCCGAGCTAGCTTTTCTTTGCACCCGCAGATGGTCCTCGCTTTGTAGGACGTGACAGAACTGTGGGTCCACCATGAACCCTCCACGACACAAGACGCCCATAACCAGACGTGAATCCATCTTTGCTCACAGGAAAGCAGCAGCAAGGCCGGCCGAGGTTTGTATTGCAGGCATTTCTTCGATCGCTGCGTCGTGTAACGGCATTGAGTGGTATCTTGACGTTCTAACCAATGAGAGGGGTGACTTCCAAAAATCTGATTGTCACCAACACAAGCAGCAGTGATTCTAAGAAGTGCAATACAGAAACAACCTGGCTCAAGACTACTTTGATTTGTGTGACCTTGCTTTCTGCCAGCCTGCACCGTCCAACAACATGGCCGTAGCCTTGGCTGTCCGTTGTCTCTTTGCCTTTGCTTTTGCAGTGGTCCATGGAGCAGAGGAGATCGAGGTAGTCGACGCTTTGGAGGTGGATGATGTTTGTGGAGCTGAGACAGGGGAGGGCAGTTCAAAACTCCTTCAACTACGAGGCAACACGGACTCCGAGGATTTTGTGGATGATGAGGAGACAGGTGGAAAGATATGCAACAAGAAAGACCAGGCGCAGGCTGCCACGGCGGGCGGGGTGGAAAGCTTCATCACCAACGCCATGAAATGCCACAGCTCCTGCACCAGCACGGCGGAGGGCTCTCATGCCAACAAGAGGTGCCTAATCGACTGTGTGACACAAACTGGTCTTCGAAAAAAGTGTGCCAAGTGCCTAGTGGAAGCGTCACTGTGTTTGCATGCCCAGTGCCCAAACTGCTCCTCTGAGCCGTCGGAAATTAACAACGCTTGCATCCAATGCGCGGTGGCTGCGACCCCAACCTGTGGCGGTGCTGCTTCTTGTGGCCTGGCAACTGAGTCAACGCCTGCAGCACCACCAGCATCCTGAGGGCAGAGCACTCTGAAGGACACATTCCTCCAGATGCTTGAGACAGGTCCTCTCTAAAGAAACACTTTTGTTCCCTTTTGATTGGCCACCAAGTGCCATTTCCTCATTTAAATCATGAGAGCCATAAAGTTTATCAGAACGCAGACAGAAAAAGTATGCCTTGAAGTTGAGTCACTGACAACAAGACTGCATTTGAAGGGTTTAAAGTCGTGGATTTTTCTACTCTCACTAGTACCAAGACAACTGATTATCTGATTATTTGATCTTCTTATATCTCTTTTTGCTGTTGCTTTTGCATGCTTTTTGGTTGACTGCGGGAAAACACCGCACGAATGGCGCCACACGGCACGCCGCGGGCCTCGCCTGCCGGAGGTCCTGAAGGGCCGCCGAGCTGACATCCCTCATCGACAGCACATCCGAGTCAAGACCTCTGAGTCCGACGAGTGGGAAGGGCCAATCAAGTTTTTCGCAACGTTTTCTCAATTTTTAGACCTTTTGATGTGTTTTTCTTTGTTGGATCTAAAAGGCCAATATTTGGTCGTCTTGAACGGTCTGGCGAGGCCTTTCAGCATCACGCCCCCTCACTTTTAGCAAAGATTTGAAAAGCGCCGGTGACATATATTGTGATCGGTTCTGTGACGGTGGTAGGAGCTTTGACGGTGTGAGTTGTAGAAATGAAAAGCCGAAATGGCAAAACATTGAACTGGGATTCAACATGTCAGCCAATCATGACATCACCAAGGGCTTCCCGGCCTTCCTCCTGAATCTCTTCATTGGTGTGTGCCTCACAAGTGCACAGAGCGTGTTGCAACATGCTGCATTTGCACACACATGTGAGCACTGCTCGCCTTTGCATGTGCAAGCGTGTGGAGCTCATGTGGAGACGTTCATGAACTGTTTCTGTTTGGGTTTCGGACTGGGGCGCAGAGGGTTTTCACGGATGGATTCAGTCAATTATGAGGGTTTTTTCTTCTGCATGAGTAAATTACAGCCAGGACCTGCTGGTATCAGAGATGCAGGTGAAGATTGATTTTTTTGCTTGCAAAAGGCCTTGAAGGTGGCTCCATAGGAGGCTCCTTATGGCTCCATCGTCGGCTTTCTCTATGGATTGCGACTCACATCTTGCTCGCCGAGGCTCCATTGCTCTCTTTTGCTTCTTGGTGCTGATGAGGCCGGACGTCCGATGCGGGAAACCCAAGGTCATGGTGGGGTCGAGCTTGCTGGTAGGTCATGGGTATGTCTCAGAAGATTTCAGTATTTTGCTAAGGCTATGATACCGTGGCTAAGGATTTGTTTTGCCTAAGGCTATGATATATTTTTTTTTTGTTACCATGGTTTATATGGACTTTGTGACATCGCTGGTTGCAGAGTGCGAAGCAGGTTGTGGGCGGGACCCGACCGAGCGAAGCAAGCAGAGCGTGAGAAGCGATCTGCCACTGGGACGGCTGGGAAGAAGACTTGACCAGAGCTCTTTACCCCTTCTCGACAGGGTCGATACGACCCCAGCCGGGTGGAACGGGGGTCAGGAGTTCTTCAGTTCTTTATTCGGAGACTCACATGGACTGGATGGATCTGCATGGTTTTGTGAGACTGTTTAGAGCAGACCTTGTGGTTTCACAAATTGTTCTTGTGATTTGCTTGATTTGCTTAGAGTCCATGTGAAGCTGCAACAAAATAGACTCATCATCGAGACCATGACTCGGTGAAAAGGCTTCTGCAGTCTCTGACCCTGAAAAACGTGGACTTCCATGTTTTTCTTGAACAGGTTAAGGTTTCTGCGAATCGGGACGTGCTACGTATCCAGTATTTATGTTTTCAATGACATGTTTTTTTTTGAAGACATGTCTTCTTCTGTAAGAACTGTGGAAGACGTTCGGAAGAAGAGTCTTTTGGACTCCGTCACAGGCTTCGCTAGGAGGAAACGGCAGATTCGCCTTCACATCTTCGCTGCCGACACAGCCTCAATAGAGTTCCTTCGGGGCCTCTCCGAAGCATGGATGGGCATTGAACAGCTGCAGCTGAGCTACATTGCAGCAGCGCTGAATGCGACTGTACTGGAGCGCTTCGGCCGAATTTGAAAAGAGTGGGATTTCGATATTTAGACAATCCCAGAAGGAGCACGCAGCAAGCAAGGGAAGCCGAGCCTCCTTCCGGGTGTCGATTGGGCAGAGGTTTCTTTAGGTTAATGATGAATGATGCGAGTTGTGCTAGCAGTGAGTGTGGCATCATCACAAGGCTTTAGCGCTGTGAGTGATGAGCCCAAGCGAGGCATTCGAGCCTTTTTGGCTTCTGCACCAACTGTCCAAACAAGTTGCTCATGATCTTCGGTCTCAAAGAAAAACCACACAGCTTTGACACTGCAAGGCCTCCCCTACTAGACAGATCATCCCGCGAACCCTATCTGCAATGCTGATGGTAAAAGTGAGTCGATGAGGCCGTTTTTGACGATACACACTGCAAGGCTGTTTTTGAACACAGCGCAACAGCACACATACGGCTCTGGGGCTCGTGCCAAAGGTATCCTACTTTTGAAAGAGGAACAAAAATGGCTAGCGGGAGTAGTTCAGAACCCCCCTTCTTTAAAGGATGGTTGTGGGTTGTGGAGTGGCTGCAATGTTTCTCATTGTGGGCTTCGTTCCAACTTGTTCACAGCTAAGATTTGTTTTGGGGTCTCAGTGCCATATCGCATGAAGAAGCTGCCACTAGTAGTAATGCCGTAATGCCCTTGTTACTAGTAGCTTCTTGTTACTAGTGTCCCAGGAGCTACTAGTAGCGTCCTTGCTCCTAGTAGCGATGCCCTTGTTACTACTGGCATCGTGTTGTTTGGACCAGAAAAATCTGAGGCCCTTCAGACAGCTGCGTCAACGCCGCTTTGGGCCAATCCTCGCTGCTGTCGCCGTCCCTGGACATGCACTGAGGAATGCAGTCTGTGATTTGGATGACTGCGGATTGGCCGCTCCCATTGCTGAATAAAATGGGTTTTCAATGGGCCAATCATGATCGTGACATGGGGAATCCATGTTGTCAACTTATTGAGAGGAATCTAGCGCTACTAGGGTGGAGGCCATCGCTAGTAGGTTAGATGCTATTGCCCCAACCAAACGAAGCTCAGCCAAGGCGAGGCATGCCAATGCAGCATTGACCTTGATGCAAGCCGCCTGGATGAAGGGATGGTTATTCTTGGTCACACTCTGACATTGGTTTGCAGTTAACTCAGTTCCCAGGTCGAAAATGGTGGTGGAAACGCATGGTGAAAAGGTCCGCGAGAACAGAGTAGAACAGTATGGTTTAAACTTGTTTGCAATTGCACTCGAAAAGGATCGACACTCAGCGCGGCTGCAAAGCGGCGGCAAAGCGGCAGTGGGAAAAGGGTTTATGGGAGGAAACGTGCAAACCACCATGAAACAAAAAGCACGAGTGGAACAGCTTGGTCAAAAGTTTCGGTTGCAGGTACGTCAGCAAGCGTCCTTGCGGATATCAGCACATCCTGAAGAGCCTCTTTGTTAGATGCCCTCTCTTCAGGTGTGGGGCATCCCCCTGCATTCAACAACTCTTAGTTACAGAGGTACCCAAAAAGCCTTAGAAGCAAAAGAAAGAAACACAGAAAGAGCAGCGCTAAGAGGGCAAGAGAAAGATAGGAGTAGAAAGAAGTGAATACTTAGCCCTTGACTGGGGTAGGGAAACGAGCCTCAAGAACAACCTAAAAAGCCTGAGAGAAAGCCCAAGAAACGACCAAAAGCGCAAGAAGGAAAGCGGGGTGCAGGGGGGGATGTATGTAACATGTGTGTGTCCGTGTGTGTGTATGACTACCTAGCACTCTAGAGTTACTGACTACTTAGCAGAAGTGAATTAGGTGCAATAGTTAGGGAGCGGGACTGAAATCTTACACCGCCCGGGTAGAGTAGACTAGAAAGGGGCAACAGAGGGAAAGGCACCGACACACAAGTGTGCCGAGTACCATTTCCCTCTGTTACCTTATTTAGAGGGGGGAAAGGGGTTGGGGTGTTTGGGGTAGCGAACACGTTTGGGTTTATTCTCCGTGAAGCCCGGCGGCATTAGGTGCAGGGAATACAGTGGTGAAACTAAATCCGTTAAGAGAATCCAAGGTCTCGTGGAGACGGTCGAAGCAGTTACACGAATTCCGGAATGAAAACGGCGCCTCCTTGCGGAGGATCACACCCAGCAATGAAGTGGGACGACTGAGCGAGTCACACTCTGACATTGGTTTGCAGTTAACTCAGTTCCCAGGTCGAAAATGGTGGTGGAAACGCATGGTGAAAAGGTCCGCGAGAACAGAGTAGAACAGTATGGTTTAAACTTGTTTGCAATTGCACACGAAAAGGATCGACACTCAGCGCGGCTGCAAAGCGGCGGCAAAGCGGCAGTGGGAGAAGGGTCCATGGGAGGAAACATGCAAACCACCATGAAACAAAAAGCACGAGTGGAACAGCTTGGTCAAAAGTTTCGGTTGCAGGTACGTCGGCAAGCGTCATTGCTGATATCAGCACATCCTGAAGAGCCTCTTTGTTAGATGCCCTCTCTTCAGGTGTGGGGCATCCCCCTGCATTCAACAACTCTTAGTTACAGAGGTTGACACACACACACACATGTAAAGCAGTTCTTCCCACATACAAGATAGGCAGAGGAATTAGCCGGGCTCAAACCATATTGTTCCATGTGCTGAAGACTTGCCCAGCAATTGAAGTGCAAAGTTCATCCTCCTACAGGCATTTCTGGTAAATCATGATGTTTGCTCCATGGCCCCATGGTCCATGGTAGCTTCTTGTTCCTAGTAGTAAGGCCAGGAGACCCTAATAGCGTCCTTGCTCCTAGTAGTTTTCATTTCTGGTAAACCATGAAGATTGCTCCATGGCCCCATGGCCCAGAAGTCTTGCCTCAACTTGTGCTAGCTCAGTTGATCAACCTAAACGAAGTGTGTATCACGGACTCCATAGCAAGCCGCCTGCAAGCTAATATCATATATAAGCTTCACAATTGGTATCTTGACCCCAAAAAGTAGCGAAGGTTGCTCAAGCGCTACGGTATGTTTGTTGTTTTGTTGCTCTGCTCCAGATGGTAAGAAGTTTCAACAGACGATGACTCCACAATAACAGCGCTATTCCTTTGCGAACTTGCTCTTGTTTCCTGCCGGCACCTTGAATGTGGAATTTACCACCAGCCTCACCTTGAAAACAGCACAAGCGCCTGGTCAATTTGCTGTCGTGAGGCCTTAGGGGCGAGCTGCTCATTGGGCCAAATGCCTCAAATGCCTTGTAACCCAATGCAGTTGGAGGGCCCAGAAGAAACTGCCGGCTGTTTTTGACACCTAGGATTGGATGAAAGAGAATTTCGGATGTCCTTGTTTTGGCATTTGGGAAATAGTAGCAACTCTTATTCTGATTGACATCCTTGAATCAATCAGCCAATCAGCTTGCCTTTCCATGGAAGACTGAAGATGTTTCACCGCTCGGACTTTTTTTTTTCAACTTTGCTTGATTCTTGTTCTTCACTTCAGAACCAGAAGCTACTAGGAGCAAGGATGCTATTAGGGTCTCCTGGCCGTACTACTAGGAGCAAGAAGCTACAGAGTCACTCCCATGCCAGGTGCTTTGGACCCGAGTTGCAGGGCACTTTAGATGTGGTGCTCCGCAAGCACTTGGCAGCTCCGGATCGGTGTAGAACGCATGACGACTCCCTCACCTCGTCTCAGTATCCAGGTAAGAACCAGTTTTTGCCAGACATACCACTCGAAACACAAAGGCTTAAGACGCTTCTCTCGAATGTTGAACACTTTTGTTCTTTTATTTGTATCTGAAAGCATATCTTTGCCTCAACTTAGGTTGGAGTGAGGCCATTGCCGTTAGGAGCAAGGATGCTACTAGGGGCTCCTGGCCTTACTACTAGGAGCAAGAAGCTACTAGGAGCAAAGGGCATCGCTACTAGGAGCAAGGACACTATTAGGGTGGCGGCCATCGCTTTTATGTTCCAATTTGACTGAGGGCGCCACTGAGCTCCAGCGCACGGCGCGGGCGGCGGTGCGGGTGCTCTGCCAACGGAGCGCGCCAGCGGTGCCTGGGCGGAGAAGTGGGGTTTGGTCCGACTGTGCACGTTGTGTTTTGTGTCCAAAGAGGTGTTAAAAGATCAAGTCAATGATTCATTAATAAGCTACTAGGAACAAGTGCATCGCTACTAGTAACAAGTGCCTTACTAGTAGTAACAAGAAGCTATTAGTAACAAGAAGCTATTTGTTTTCGAATAACTAGAAGTAATTAGAATTTAATTAACTAATAGCTTCTTGTTACTACTAGTAAGGCACCTGTTACTAGTAGCGATGCACTTGTTTCTACTAGCTTCTTGTTCCTAGTATCGATGCCCTTGCTCCTAGTAGTACGGCCAGGAGCCCCTAGTAGCTTCTTGTACCTCTTCCCACTCACACAGAAAAGGAAAGCACTAGTCACTGGTCTGCTCGCCCTTTCAACTGTTTTCATCAAAAGCGTGGAGCACAGAAGGCATCCTGGTTGACTGGGAGTAGTTTCTTGCTTTCCCCTGTGCATCGGTCGATATAGAAAGAGCACCACGATCTTAGTAATTGAAGTCAGTACGAGAAGAACAATAGGGCAAAAGTCCTGATTCAACCCTTGGAAAACAACGTTCAGGACACAAATTGGCAAGAAGACAAGTCAGGCAACTCCAGGTCTGGATAAGTATTCGTACAAGTATTCCTACAAGTTTAGACCCAGAAAGCATCAGTGAGCAGAGCATTTGTTAAAGTTATAGTTTTATAGTGATAGTGGTTTGCAGCTTTGTATTCAATGGCGAAGAATGTCGAGACAGCACATCGACTCATTTGAAAGATTGAGCGGAAAATCTTAACATCCATGGGGAGGCATCAGGTGTGGTAGTAACAAGTGCCTTACTAGTAGTAACAAGGGCATTACTACTAGTAACAAGAAGCTACTAGGAACAAGTGCATCGCTATTAGTAACAAGGGCCTTACTAGTAGTAACATCCAGGTGGTTCTTTTGTGCCGAACCACTGGTGCTTGTCACCAAGGCTTTGGTTGCGCTCATGGCCGCAATAGACAGCCAGGCTACGAGAGTGGATGGATGGAATAGAGAGTCTGGGACAAACACGGATGACCTGCGAGGCTCAACAAACTGAGCGAGAGGATGCGAAGCTATGGCTGCATCGCTATGGGGGCAATCTCTTGAGATCCACAGACTTGCTCAACAAGAACACCACGGAAAAGCCTACAGGGGCCCTGGGTCTTCAACTTCATTATCCCTTTTCTTGACAGCTACCTCTAGTGTGGCAAGAATGCTTGATTATCTTGATTATGGGGTTGGAGGCCATCGCTATTAGGTTGGAGGCCATGGCTGTTGTGGAATTTTTAGCATGTAAAAACATGCGCTGAGGAAAGGTCAGGTCCTACTAGCTTCTTGTTACTACTAGTAAGGCCCTTGCTACTAATAGCGATGCACTTGTTCCTAGTAGCTTCTTGTTACTAGTAGTAATGCCCTTGTTACTAATAGCTTCTTGTTACTACTAGTAAGGCACTTGTTACTAGAAGCGATGCACTTGTTCCTAGTAGCTTCTTGTTTCTACATGCGCTATGGCCTTGGGTCTGTTGGGTCTGGAGCAACGGCCTCCTTGGCCAGGCGACTCATTACCCTTCGGTGACGACGGAGTGCATCACCCTTAGGCGAGGCACACGGAGTGCATCACATTTGACCACGAGGGGTGAAAAGACAAGAATGCTACTAGTAATGCTCTTTGTTACTAGTAGCTTATTGTTACTACTAGTAAGACCCTTGTTACTAGAAGCGATGCACTTGTTCCTAGTAGTAAGGCACTTGTTACTAATAGCTTCTTGTTACTACTAGTAATGCTTTTTGTTACTATATAGTAGCGATGCCCTTGCTCCTAGTAGCTCTTTGTTCCTAGTACTGGACGACTCGTCTTGACAACCCTTGACACCTCGAAGGCAAGCAAGGCCAACTCGAGGTCACTTCGCGCCCAGGGCATCCCTGCAAACTCGAGCTTCGCCTTGCGGCGACTTCTGGGTCTGGTCGGCGGGAGAAATGGGGGTTCGTTGGGACTCGTTGGACGCGTTCAGTGAGAGAAGTGTTTTTTTTCCAAAACACATCGGGCTGCAGGAAGTTCAAGGATGTTCAAGCACATTGGAAGGATTTATGGAGAGTTTGTAGAGATTCTTAAAAACTGGACTCACAGCTTGACCCACCATTACGGTCGTTGACCCTATACGTAATCTTCCCGATCACAGCGCTGACTTTGGTGATGTGAAGAGGGACAAGAATCATCTTCCATGAAAGGATCGGACACCCGTATTGGGCGTCTTCCTCGGTTGGCAGATTGGTGCAGCCAGTAAACTATGGAACAACAAATCAACAGTGACACCCATTTGTGAATCGGTGAAATTGGTGGGTCTCGCATCTCACGCTCAACAACTGAATGATGCTGCAAACATGCCAACATGAATTTGTGACCTCCAAGGACACCGGAATGCAATGCGTCCACAGCCTCTTTCAGGCTCCATGATGGGTGTGGTGGCAGAGAGAGTTCGATGAGTCCTCGTCCTCATTTCCATGAACCTTTGATGGCCTCCAACCTAATTGCGATGGCCTCCACCCTAGTAGCAATGGAGAAACCGCTTGTTTGCAGACTTTCTACTGAAGTCACCCATGTCGCAGTGCTCCGCAGCCGAGTGCTTCGCAGCTAGAGGTGGGTGCGCTTCATGGTACGGCACTCCGGGACTTCGAGCTTTGGCAGCAAGCCTTTGGGAGGCCGGGACAGCTCGGAGCAAAGCATTTTCAGCTCGGTTTAGACTTGTGCAACCCGAACTTCAAAGCAGAAGACTCCTTGGAGCTGATCGTCTCACTCCTTGGAACCTGGTGGACCTGGTGTCAGTCCACCAAGCAAAATTAATCAAATAGATGAAGAGTAGCTGGTGCACCGCAGCAGACGGGTGAACACACGCAGATTGACAGTCCTTGCGGCACTCTGGTGTGTGAATCCACAGCCATACCCCTTCGTGAGGGCCTAATTAAACAACTACCCTGTACCTAAAATGAATCAAGAAAGAACCCTCAACTGAGTGCTGTTGAGGCCAGACTGGACTTTTCTTCAACCTGGCGCACGGCGGATCTCCATCCTCGCAGGCTCACGGCCGAACTAGACCCCCTACTACTAGGGTCTAGTAGCGTCCTTGTTCCTAGTAGCGTTGCCCTTTGCTACTAGTAGCGATGCCAAGAGCTACTAGTAGCTTCTAGCTACTACATCCTACGACCCCAAAAGAAGATGATGGGGAATTACGGACAGGTCCACGGAGCCCCCACCCCACCGATCACGATCTCGTCAGTTCCTCCGTGAGTTGATCCAGGTTTTTTGAGTTCATTCCAGCGTGACGAACTGTGGATGGCTGAGGCTCGGCACATTTCGAGCTGCAATCACACTGCCCACTCCATTAGAATGAAAACCAAGTACCCCCCTATACAGTTGCAGGTAGGGAACATGAGCTCCGAGCAGTGCAAAGCTTGAGGTGCACATAGCTCACTCAGGCATCACAAGAAACGGCATGACACAGCGTCTAGTGAGCCAGAAATCTTCTTTTTCCCACAAAAGCCACAGACATGACATGGCCCAATTCTATCTGGTCTTCCCGCCGTTCTTCGCAGGTGGGCGTATTTATGGCCAACACCTCTACCACATTACTGAAGCTCTTTGCAAACCTGAGGACAGACGTTCCTGGAGCCTCTTTCCGAACATGCTGTGCATAAACAAGTTGGGTCAATACCGACCTCTTTAAGAAGCCTTGACGATGAGACCTTCGCCCATTCTTGGCAGGATTCTGCTGGTCGATCCGTGCCCTTCGTGGGGGAAAGTTCGGTCATGGCCCAAACATGGCCAGCGGAAAACAGCGTTAGAATCCATTTCGCAGTTCCAGGTACCACCTGCACACTGAGAACCACACAGCTCAAGCTCAACAATTTGAGGACATCTGCCAGTAGGAACGCAATGTGAACATCAAGGAACGAAAAGTGCACATCATGAACTAAATGATTAAATGTGAAGCATTTTCAGGATGAACAATCACTCTTTGGACGCAACGTTTGACGCTCCTTCGGGTCTCGAATGCGACTCGCTGGAGGAGTTCTACGTGTCTCCGAAGTCCACCTTCATGTCAGCTACGGAGCTGGGCCCCCAATGAAAGGCGATCGTTGAGGGTCGGTTGAGGGTCTTAATGGCGATGGCCTCCACCCTAGAAGCGATGGCCTCCTTCCACCCTAGTAGCGATGGCCTCCAACCCAAAGTTGTTCAAGATGTTTTTTGCAAGTCTACTCGAGTCATTTTTGTCACACAAAGTCCTAACACCCGCGTTTACACGAGTCCGAAACTGATAGGTCTGTGGAAGACTTGAGGGACCGAAGGCTGACAGAGACCCGAGGCCGCCATTGTGTGCCATCGCTAGGTTGGAGGCAATTAGGTTTGCTTCCACAAAGTATGCTACTAGTAACAAGTGCATCGCTACTAGTAAGAAGTGCCTTACTAGTAGTAACAAAGAAGCTACTAGGAACAAGTGCATCGCTTCTCAACATCAAGTTGCTGTGCCCACAGAGGGCCGCGCGGTTCGTCGTAAGGGCCACGCAGCCGTGGCGGAGCCGTGCCACCACGCTGCTGCAGCGGAGTGTGGAGGCAGCTGCTTGGGTGAGGCCCGACGTTTGTAGAGTCTTGTGACGTGAGGTTTGTGCAAGGCTTTCCCACCGCTGTGACAGAAATGAGAGTTCTTTGCGTCCGATGATAGAATTCAAAACGATTCAAAGTGTCTTTCCAGTGGTCTTAGACATCCCGTGACACATTGATCTCGTTTTATTTCTATTTTTTTCATATGCACAGAAACTAAGAGCACTGACAAGGCCGGGCTTCCTGGATTTGGTCTTCCTAGATGGCGACCATCGCTACGAGAGCGTGACCAATGACATCCAGGCAGCAACAAAGTTGTAAACACCTATCGAAAGGAGATATTTGGGGAAGAGAGGAAGGCGGGAAGAGAGAGAGAGAGAGAGAGAACCACACCGACCATGGTCCAAAGGTCCAAG